ACTTTATCTGCTGATTTTTTGTTACTGTGACTTGACAATTTTCTTTAAAGCTTCAATTATCATTCATTTGGACACAAAACTACTTGCATTTTGGTTTAACTTTCCATAGAGGACTAAATTTACAACATTAGTACATACGTAAGGAGGTATACAAAGTCAAAAAAAAAAGGTATACAAAGTCATTTGTAAGTATATGAATGTGAAAGGTTCATAAGTATCCTGTAAGCATTTAGCATGGAGTGCATTATGGTTGGCTAGACAAAATAATTATGTGTCTATCTAATTTATGTTTGTCCCTAAAAACTTTAAACTTCTTTTACATTAAACTTACCTAGTATTTGGGAGAATGTTAAAGTTTGTTAGAGATTTAAGTTTCCACACTTAAGAATCATTAAATCAGATGCATAAATAACTTGCTTTCCAAAAATTCACTTTGCTCTTTTCCAGAAGTCATTTGGCAACATTTGATATCATACAAAAATATAATTAAATTCAAGAAAAGACCCTCTTAAATAAAAAATTATTTTTGAAAACTTATAACATGGTCATCCTGTTGTACCTTTTAAATAGATTTATCAAGCTCTGTAAATTAAAAAAAAAAGGAAGACAGTAAGATTTATAAATAAAATACCAGAAAAAAGGCACTTATGCCCTGCACATGGTTATTTCAATTTGTAGAATCCACACCCTATCAAATGGAATTGATTTCTGGCCTGAAAATAAATACAGAAGAGTACTAGAATAGAATCAAACCAGAATGCTAATGAAAAAGAATCAAGTTGTCTACCAAATATTTCACGTCAGTAGGAAATTTCTTTAGAAACTTCTGATGGAAATTTGCAGTGTATGTTGTTGTATCAAGTGCAGGAGAGGTATAAGGCTATTGGAGGAATTCCCTTACTTTATTGACTAAAGAGCCAAAACAATTGTTGCTAACAGTAAAGCTTGAGAAGATAATTAAATGAATGATAACAAAATCTCAGTGGGGAAGTGCCCATTAATTGGATTTATTTGGGATCATGTTTTCACAAGTATATCCAAATTATCTAATTTTCACTCACATTTAAAAGTGATAGTATAAAACAACTAATTACTAGACTTGAAGGAAAAAGCCAGTCTTTTGCACCAAACAGAAGAAAATAAACACTAAAGAACCGCCATGATGTTTGACAGCTTCCTGAAAATCCCTTCCATCATTTTGTCCTGTGAAATATTTCTGTGAAAATTGCCAAGTGAAGGAATCCCAGTAATTTCTATGTAGTAGTGTCTTTAAAGCTGGAACACATTTAATCACATTCTTTGTATCCTTTCAAGGTATTAATATATGTTTTAGTAAAAGAATGCCAACAGGTAAAATAACTGAGAAGGAAGGATTTGTTACAGAGACAACACATGAGTTTTGGCATTTTTTAAAAGAAAATATTATTTCCTGTTTAATATTACATATTTTTTAATTGTTGCTGTTTTCATGTGGTACAGATAAAAAAAATCTAAATTATAGCATCATTATAATCAACTTTTAAATTTGGCATGAATGAAATACCCCATACATTGCTCAGACTTTTTTTTTTTTTTTTTTTTTTTTTTTTTTTTTGCTTTGAATTGCTAGCATGATCTCTCCAATTTAAAATGGGATACATTTAATGCTGTAGCAAATGACTTTCTAATTTCCATGAAGTTTATGATGAACCTCATGATACATTTGTAGTACTCAACCAGATCTTGTTCAGTCAACATATTAAATAGAAATTTAAACTATGAAATGTGTCACTTTTATTTCCACTCTCATACTCTGAAACAACATTAATATGTTGATAATGTTTGTATAAATTCTAGCAGCCTCGACTTGGCAATTTAATCTGAAGCAGGGAAATCTAAATTAATAAGTAATGCCAAATATATTATTTTAATTTTCTGACTTACATTTTTCCCTAAAGAAAAATTATCATCTAAATAAACACATTTTATACATATTGGTTAAAAATTATTAACAATATCCAAAATACTTCTTGCATTTAAAATTATGTTTCAGCTTTAAAAACAGTGCTTAATGTTCTTTTTATCCAGGGACATCATTTTCTCACTCAGAAAACTAGCTGCTGTAACTATCAAACTAGGAGCTAACACTCATTCACAATGACTTTATCACTACTTGGAAACAGTTATACAACCTAGCACTGCTTTATCTTCCACAAAGTTGTTACTATATTAATTTAGAAAAAAAGAATAGGGCTATGATTTGTTTCCTTAACCATTTTGGTAAATTAATACAAAATAGATGTCAGTTATGGTATATATAGGTAGGTCGATTGACAGATAAATTTAGAGCAACAGATAGGTAGATGGATATAAACGTGGCCGTTGTTGAAAGTAGAATGTTTTGTTTTGCCAGGTGAAATATTGTATATGAAAGATTTCATTCGTACCTTATTCTGTTATTATTTCTATTTCTGTTTTTATCTTTTGTTTAATCAATATAGTAAAAGAAAGTTTTCTGATTAAACAATATTGCAAAGGCTAGATAATTGTTTTTATTGGTTTACATTGGCATTTCACAATCTAAAAGTATAAACACCCCAGGCAAAAACTGCATGTGGATCAAACTGGATTTTGAAGAATTTTTGTTTTTAAGATAGATTTTTACTTCAAGTTAGGGATCAATATTTAAATTTTACTGACAGTTTAACAATTAGAAGGAATTATAAACAAAGAAATTCCCTAAAATAGATTTTATCTATTAGTGTCAGCTTACTATTTTGCTCAGCACTTTTAAATCTTCTTAGAAGGATAACTTTCTGTCCATTACATTATGATAGTTCAATCACCCTTAAAAATGAACCTATCTATTTTAATTCCATGAATTGTCACCGATTTATTTCCAAAAGACCTTTTCCTCAATGATCAGATTTAGAACGTAGGATTTTAACTGAAAACAATTGGCACATTTTATTTCCCACAAGAGGTATTTAAAAATACAAAGCTGATTTGTCCACAAATTCCTGGGCTTATAAATTCATAATGTTAAAGTTTCATCAGTTTCATCTGAGATGAGACTTGCCTGGAAATCCATGGTGTGTTTTCTGAAGAAGTTACCTAAATGTCTTCAAAAATTCGATTGGTCTAGAAAAATGACTCTGAGCCAGTCATGTTTCTTTTCATTTTTTTTTTTTTTTTTACAAAAGACAAAACAGCAATAAACATTTTAGCTCTTTAATGAGCAAAGATCATGTCTCTTATCATTGGACTAATAGTTATTATCCAGTTTATCTTTATTTCACGCAATGACCAATGACATGGCCAAGATGTACAAAGTTGTTTCCATCAAGTAGTATACAATTTTTTTTTTGTATAATAAGCTTTCATTCTTGAAAAAGAGTAACTGAAAAGAAAGGTTTCTGTTACTGCAGTTAGTTTGTCAGAGAAAGTTCTTTGCGTTATCTTACAAACTATCAAAATTGCTAGTCATCTGAAAAAATGTAAAAAAAAATCACATAACTTTAGTCTAATAGAAATATAGTACAGGTAAGAGAGAAAGTATTTATCAGGATGTGCTCTTTAAGTCCATCTCATTTTTTTTTAATATAAATGTACATCTGATTACATATACAAACATTTGGATAGGTCTGTGATATACTGTTACCAGTAAACAACAGTGGATGAAGAGTTTCCTGTGGTCTTAGAATATTCATTAAAAATCACATGTACGTGTAAGACTAAAATCCCCCAGATGTTGTCTCTCTTAGGTTCAGCATCTACGTTGTACTCTACTGAGATTTCCAGAGTAAATTCCAGTGACAGGACCTCAGTAAGAAAGATAAGTGGTGTGAGGAGGGACATAACTTTATATTGAATTATTATTAGTAAACATTTTGCCATGCAACATGAGTAAATCAATTATCTGAGGGCTATAACCAGAGTGGTAATTTGGAGCATCCTCATTTCATAAAAGACTGTTGCAAGTAACTCTTTGGACACACTTCACCTTACCAAAAGGAACAAAATACAGCGTAACAAAAACCACAGCAAATGATGGATCCTGTAACACATGTCCAATTAGGATTACATCTTTATAAATAATTTAGGTGGGAATGAAAAGAACATTAAGAACACAGGAAATTGTTGTTCTGGGATTCATAGCGAGTATTCACCACTATACCTACAGTTTCTTCAAATACCTTTAAGAACTAATGCCTTCTATTATCAAAACTACTGTGAATTATTTTACTGTAATTACTTTTGCCCCTTAAAATCTTCTTTCGGTTCTGCCAATTGATGGAGGAAGCTTCTATTAAAGACTCCAATGGGATGAGAAGAATTTTAATTACGGCTTAATCAGCAGCACAGCCACCAAGCATATAGATTATCATGCACATCGTGCTAAAAATATCCAGTTTCCTGTATTCCCCACAACTTTATACTGACAGCACTTATGTGATCATGTACCTGCCAGTCTTTAAACTTCTCTGTTTTACTGGCAAATTTCAGCATGAGCCTCTGCTAAGGCCATTAACAGCATTGGTGTTTTGTGTACTTATCCAAATATGTAAATATGGTCTACACAACAAAACGGTTCCAAATTAAAACTGGTGAAAATTATCTGACATTCCATTGGTGTGTCCCTTGTGCATATTCATGGTTGTTTTTTGTTTTATTTTATTTTTTTATATTTCAGACATAGTTCTTTCCTGTTTGGTGTTCCACATGCCTAATTCCATTTTGTAACATAAATCTTCAAAAAATTAATTCTTGAATGTGAATGAAGAAGTATCATTCAGAACAATTGCTTCAAGCAATTGAAATTCATTTTTAGAGTTGATTTGTGTGTGTATATATATACAATTCATTTTTTTTCAAAACCCCCAAAGTCCTTGATATGTATATTCACATAATATTCCTCCTTATTTAAATAAGTAAGAGTTTTGTAGGTTGAAAGCCAAGGAATCTTCAGTAATCTTTTACTGCAATCCATCAAAAAAATAGAGTTTGTTTCTGTTATCTGGCTATACCCTGGTTGTTGAATGTGAATGGGGGTGCGGATGGGGGTGGGGCAGCGTATTGTTCTGTCCTCCAGTAAATGTATTGAATGTGTGTAAGGGCTGAATTCCTGGTATAGTGTTGGGAATCATTGTAATGGTGTTGGGTGTCATTAAGGGAACATCATCAGGTGACCTCCTCATAGCTAATGTGTAATCTGGGGGGCAGGCGGTCCGGAGAACCACCTCATGTGGATGGATGGACTCACATTCATGATCCAGATCAGTGTGCTTCATTTGGAGGGACATGATCTCCTCTTCTTGTGCGTGGGTCAGATCGTTGGTAGTAGTACGCTGAGGGCTGCATCTCCTATGAACATCGTGTCTCCTCTTATCCTTTTTGTAGTACAGGGCTGCAAATGCCAAGATGTTCAGAAACAGCAGTGATGCTCCAACTGCTATGGTAACGCTCAGCTCTGTCGAGTAGTCCCTCTGATCCACTGAAAATGGACTTGGCTGTTGTTTGGGATCATCCTGCTTGGCAGTGGGAAAGGCTGATGTGACAGGTACAGAATTTTTTCTCGTAGGTCGGAAAGTGATGTCCGTTGATGGCACTTTAGTTGTTGTAGAGGTATACTGAGAAATGTCATTGAGATTATGCAGATGAGGTACCAGCTCCAACCAGAGGTTCACCTTATTGGCTCTATAATGTTCTTTAACTCGTGGTTTTAATCCAATATGGAGATAAAGTTGATCTTTCTGGGAATATCTGGTCCATGCTACTTCTTCAAAGCGGTTGGGTTTGGTATGGATGAATTTTGTGTCTTGAGGAACTGGTTGATTTGGGTCACTAAGAAAGAAAGAAGCAATTATGAGAACAAATTTATTTTATTCACTTTCTTAATGGAAATAGTACTAGGTTGACATCAAATTGAAGAGGTAATTCAGCCAGGCTTTAGATTGTTTTTACAACAATTTGGGTCAATTTGGAAGTATAAATCTCATTGCAGGCAGATTGCTTGATGGATGATAATGCAATTCGAGTAAGCTTCACATTCTTTTACAAATGGGCTACTATCTACCCAAAGATTTAAAAATTTATGTACCTATTCATTGTCCTATAGGCAAACTAGCAGAGACAGCATGGAGTAGTGGAAAAGTAAGATTTGGAATTGGCAGGTGAGGATTTGAGTTCTAGTACTGTTACATATTAGACATAATTAATATCTAGAAGAGGCTCTGATAGCCTCATGTCACTTCTCTGTAAAATGGGATTAATCTTACTTGGCATGCCCACCTAACAATGTAGTTGGCAGAACCAAAGTCTTATAGTTTTGCAAACTGGAAAGCATTATAAAAGAATATTAGTCAATATTTAATAATAATGTCTTACTCAAGTAAAATACCAAAAGAAATTTAATTATTGAGGAGTGTAATATATATGTAAGCTTATTTAATAAACTTCTTAAAAGGTAAGAACTAATAAACACTAGTTTTTGAAGCACCACAGTAAGAATTTTGAAAAAAAAAAAGGGGGGGGGCAACATCTTGCTGTTATTAATCTATTAAATCATTTGGGCACAATATATATATTATTTTTTACTACTAAATGCTTAAAGGGATTTTTGTATTACATTATAGAAAACTTTATTCCTTAAGTACATACCCAGTTTTAGCAAAATTTGTCCAGTATGTCATTACAACTGCACTCAGCATCACGTCATTTTTGGAGAAATTGCAAGGAAATAACTCTGTAGGTCCAATCATGGGGATTCCTAGTACATAGGGAACCTCATCTCCATGAGCTGCATCAGCCCACGCAGGAACCTGATCTGTTTGGCAATGATGGTAAAAGGCATAGAAATATGTAGGTGAACCAAAGTTTGAGTGAAGATCTGCTGTAGCAACAGCTGGTGCCACCCACTGATGGTCCGTAAACAAGGCCAATAACGTCTTCCTTCTGGTTTCAGGGTTATGACGGTCAGCCCAGTCAGTATACATGAATTTAATCGTTTCTCTCAACACATCTTTGCCTTCTGGATATCCATATAAATTATCAACAAAATTGGAAACAGCAAAGTCAAAATCACTAGCTGATATACCATCATCACTATCTACTATATTTTCAACAAATTTTAATCCTTCTCCTTGGTTAACTCCTAACATTATATCATAGTTGAGAAACTCTCCTTGCTCCATCAATATCTGAGGGTCATCTGGTATGACATCACCATCAATCACAGGTCCAAAGGCTATGTGGTATCGTGCTGGTTGAATATCTTGGTCAACAAGTTCTTTGTAAGGCTTCTTCTGTAGGCATTCCACCAATTCTACTGTATCTGAAACATTGCAGCCAACTTTTGTGGCCAACATTCTAGCATATTTTGCAGGTTGGAAACTAACAGCCCAGCTGGAAAGGGCTGTTCCACTTTGAGCTATTGCTCGTTGGAAAAGTCCTATGGGAAAAACAACAAAGAATTTCAGGTGACCTTTGAATGATGTTGTGATAAAAAAAAATAATAATAATATTAGATATTTCAGATGTGTATATAAAACCAAGATACAACTCAAGAACAAAAGATAAAGACATTTTTTTTGTTTAAGAGAAGGTACATAAGGGCATCCCCAGGGCATAATGAATTTGAGAGAAGGATTAAGTCTTCTGCTCTGAGTTACAACCACTTTAGGAATCAAGAGGTATAAGTTGTATCTGCCTCAAAGAGGCAGTAAGCAAGGAGAGGAGGAGAATGTGTAACTACTAGTGGTAAAAAGGCACACATTAGTCTGTGCTCATCATGTAAACACCTATGTTATTATCAAAGCCAACCAGATGGGACCAAGTCTCTCCCCACTATCTCTTCATCAGACTCTCTGTTGTTTTTTGAGGATATTTCCTCCAATTTGGCTGCACATGTCTTCCTTTAAAATGGCTGTGTGTGCTTGTTTTAATCAGACTTTATTTGAAAAAGGATTGCTCAGATTGCATTTGGGGCTGGGGATTTGCTAATACCCTGGAGATAGCCCTGAGGCACACAAAACAGAATATCACTTTAGACATACTCTTTCCAGCTTTTCCTGTCAGACATAGTATGCTGAATATTCATCTTTCACATATAAAACTTTCACTAGGTTAAAGAAAAAAAACATCAGCAGAGGATTTTGTGGGGTGTGATTTAACTTCTTTCAGTTTTGAATGTGCACTGCTATGTTTTATCATAAAAAATGCAAAGTACATGGTCTGCTGCTTTTCACTTAATTGCATTTAAAAATTACAAATCACAGTCCCATATGCAGTTTGATTAGAACTGCACGCCACTCAAATTTGCAAATGCACTTTATCTACTCCTTATGATATTTTCAAATAAAATCCTTGTGTTAAATTTATTTATGTTCTTTTTAAAAAGTACATTTGTTACCATTTTCCAAATGCAGCTTTGTAGAGTGGTTATTTAAACACATGCTCAGTTATTCATATGTGTTAATGAGATAAGAACAGTTTTCACAAAGGTGCTAAAACAGTGTCTGAATTAGAAACAGAATTTTAGATTTTTTTCCAATTGCATATATGTATTTAAAATGCAGTCTATAATATGTTCCTAGATAATTCTAAAAACAATACTAATTTAAATTTGTTTTGGTTTCTGACATCTTCTGACATCTAGAGCAAAGTATGTGAGAGTAAATGGTCTACATAGAGATAATTTCAAAAAATTATAGAAGCTATGTGTCAACATTAGCTCACAGAAATATTATACTAATTAAAAACTTGACAAATAATATAAATCTTGCGATTTCTATAATATATTTTCCCCTTTAAGGGGCTTAATGACATTAACTACATATACATACCAAAAATTATTTTGCAGAAAATTCCTGTCATTAAATATAATCTGAAAGATGATACCTAAATGGTATTGGGAAAACCATCTTTTTTATCGTTAGTGAGAGTGCTTGTTGTGTGTCCACAAGCTATCGTTGATTTCTGGTTGATAGAGGCCTGAGCATTGCTACAGCTCTGGGGAGTTTACAAACTTTAAAGTCTGTCTGCACTGGAGACAGAATTAGCATGATGATTTCCAGACATCTCCCAAGCATCTCCTGATCAAATCAGGAAGTTTTGTGGAGATAGGCTTAGGAATAGACCAAACACAAAGCCACTTAGGTGGCCAGGTAAGAACAGATTCCCTTGAAGAGGCTTATGGAATGCTGTATTGTTGACTTGTTTGCATAGCCATTTGCCACTGTCTACCACATCATCCATTGATAAATAGCGATGCTAGCCAATGAGCTAACTGATTCATCTCTTTATATGGAATGCTAGTTTTTATACTGGCTGGAACTAGTTTGGGTGTCCATATTTGCTTTACATTTACAAAAAGTTTTAGAAAACCTAGGAGGAAAGAACATCAAATGATCCTAAGCAGTCTAAACAGAAATATTAGCTTACTGTAGTCCCTAGCTAGAACTGTAATATATGTTCTATTAAAGAAAACAACTCTGTTATTTCATAATAAGCCATTTCATTACCAACCAAATCTCTATACAATTGGCAATGTTCTCATATGTGCCATTTTGTTATCTCGAGTCAGAATTCTACTAATACATATGAGATGTTACAGGAATGATGTCCATAATGAGGTCCATATATTATATGATATAATAATAATATATAATATATGATTCTTCAAATACATATACTCATTTAATTACCCGCTGATTTTTCAAAATTTCACATAAATGTATCTTTGATACCAAAAACAAATATCCTATATTTGGTGCTTATATCATAAAACTCAGTCTTAGAAAATAAGATGTTTTATGAACACTTGACAATGTATATTTTATAGATATAAAATGACATAAAGTACAAAATGTAAGATGGCCTATGCTGATGTCTGTTTTCCATCTTTCCATTTCTTATGTGTGTGAAATGGAAAGAAACCATTTGTTTTTGCAAACTTCTCCAATAAAACACTTTCTGTTCTTGAGGATACAAGTTAATGATGTAAATTGAATGAATGACTAAACTCATGGTGAGATGGGAGTCAATAAAAAACACACAACAACATAAGGAGATTTGGGCAGGCACTTAAAAACTGTGTCAAGGCCAGAAAATAGAGACAAGAAAAGAGTTTCTTGGGTTTATGCAGCCTCAGTGCTCCATGCTGCTTTGCCAAGCTTTTGGAGAGAAAAACACTTTTGGAGTTAAAAATAGGAAAAAATTATGAACTCAGACCTATTGTTTTAAATCTAAAGCTCTGCTAGTGCTCTCAATGCTTTGACAATTTTGGATCATGCATGCAAAATAATCAGATATCTATTCTCCACTCAGACAACAAGTGAAAAACTCATTTCTAAACACACTAGCTTATTGCTCCTTCTTTCTTACTAGTAAAGGGTTTTAAATGTCTATTGTCTTAAAAGTAGATTATATACAATCCTTAAATAAAAACACACCTTGTCTTTTATTTTGATTACTGAATAAACTGAGATGATAGAACTACAAACATCCTTGGCATTCCCTAAAAATCACCCTTTGGAGGAAGGAAAAGTAACTGTGATGTGAACCATTCTGAAGTGTGCTTGAAAGGGCTTCCTTACCAAGTCCCATAGGAGACAGAAGCTTGACAAAAATCTGAACATGCATAAAAGCTGAAGAAACAAAATTTTAAACAGCTATTGAGTTCTACCTGACACTCAGTTTGAACAGAGAAATATATACAGAGCATCACATACTACTGATGGTGGTGGCATGCAGACACCAAAATTGTCAAAATTTGCAACCTGCATAATACCTTTGGTTGAATTGCTCCAACGGTTACCTTCAGAATAATGGGATAAAGTCAGCAGATTGACACACGAACCCCCAGCACCAGATCCAAAAACAGTGATTCTTAAGGGGTCACCACCAAAGAATCCAATGTTCTCACTAGTCCATCTTAAAGCCTGTATGAGATCAAGGAGTCCATAGTTTCCTTTTGCAGCCTGATCTCCTGTGCTCAAGAAACCTAGAAAATAAAAAATAAAAAGACACCTTAGAAACACCCTTTTGATTTGACATAAATCAAATAAGTATTAAATTTAAATATAACTGAAGCCTATGTTCATCAAGGTGAGTACATGCTCTTTGGAGGAAAAAAATATATCTATATCTATATCTATATCTATATCTATATCTATATCTATATCTATATCTATATCATCTATATATATCTTTCCCACCAGAATAAAAAAAAATTACTTTAGGAAGAAGAGTAGAGACTAAAATTTGAAAATTGATATTTATCTTCCCCATGTTATCCAGGTAATAGGCAACAAGGGGCGGATAAAGGGAATGAAAACATTCTGAGAGACCTCAGGGAGAGATTCTTGAGGCCAAGTTACTTGGTGGGGATATTTGGGATAGTATCATGGGGCACATGAGAATGTGTGTTCACATAAAACACTATGTCAGTCCTCAGGTTGCTCATGGTCTAACATAGTTGGAATTTAAAGTATCTGTAGCAGAGTGACAGGATGTGAGGGTGGAGAACATACATATTTTTCTAAAACTTGTTCATAAAATCATACACAACTCTTTGCATATATGTGTATGTACGTTTTCATCAATAATGGCCCATGGTTAAAAAATAATCACTGTTAGAAGTAATTTGAAACTACCTTTTGGAATACCTTAAATGCTAACCTGAGGAGATTTTCACAACTAGAAACCAGTGTAGAAAGAAGGAGAAGGTATTAAAGAACATATATGCATAACCTATAGACACACACAACAGTGGTGATGGCCAGAGGGAAGGGGGGTGGGCAAAAGCTGAGTGGAGATAGGAGAAGGAGGGGAAAATGGGGGTATCTATAATAGTGTCAACAATAAAAAAAGTTTAAAAAGTTGTAGAATAATTGAAGATTTTTTAAAAGTTCTGATTCATATTTCTGAAATGTTTAAAACTCTGCTTTATAGTGAATCTGATAATGCGGTGTAGAAGTGTAGGTTGTACAATAAAAAGAATGGTGTAGGGGAGAGATTGTAGGGGTCTGAATTGACAAGGTAGAAAAGGCAACTGAAAAAAGGGAGATAAGCTGAAACCAGTTTGGCTCAGTAGATAGAGTGTCAGCCTGTGGACTGAAAGGTCCCAGGTTCGAACCTGATCAAGGGCATGTACCTTTGTTGCGGGCTCATCCCTGGTGGGGGGTGTGCAGGAGGCAGCTGATTGATGTTTCTCTCTCATCGATGTTTCTAGCTCTCTATCCCTCTCCCGTCCTCTCTATAAAAAAATCAATAAAATATATTAAAAAAAGGAAAGAAAAGGGAAAAAAGGAGATAGGGTTTTTTCTTTCAATTGTTTCACTTGCCCAAAGTGATATTTCAGAAAAAAATATTGCTACAAGAATGTCCAAGATTTTATTGCCTGTGTTTTCCTCTAAGATTTTTATCATTTCAAGTCTAACATTTAACTAAAAATTTTTGCACAGCAAAGAAAAATATCAACCACGTGAAAAAAAAAACACACTGAATGGGAGAACATATTTTATTTGCCAATGATACATCTCAGCTGCAAAAAAGAAGGAAATCTTTTCCTTTTAGGATAGCGTGGATGGAGCTGGAGAGTATTATGCTAAGTGAAATAAGCCAATCTGAGAAATACAAGTACATTAATATGTAGAATTTAATGAACAAATAAACTAATAAACAAAATAGAAACAGACTTATTGATAGAGAACAGACTGACAGCTATCAGAGGAGAGGTGAAGGTGGGGGGAGGCTGGGTGAGAAATGTGAAGGGATTAAAAACACACACAATATAGTTATAGACACAGACAACTGTATGTTTATTACCAGAGGGAAAAGAGGTAGTGGGGGGATAGAAGAAGGTAAAAGAAGATAAATGGTGATTAAAGAAGATTTAATCCAGAGTGGTGGGACACACAATAAAATGTATAGATGATATACTATAGAATTATACACTTGAAACTGATATAATTTTATGAACCAACTAAAGGCCTGGTGCACAAAATTTGTTTACTCGGGGGTCCCTCAGCCTGGCCTGTACCCTCTCTCAGTCCAAGAGCCCTCAGGGGATGTCTGACTGATGGCTTAGGCCTGCTACCCATAGGGAGCAGGCCTAAGCCGGCAGTTGGACATCCTTAGAGCTGCTGCAGAGGTAGGAGAGAGTCCCACTACTGCTGCTGCGTTCGCCAGCCATGAGCCCAGCTCAGGGCTTCTGGCTGACCAGTGATTCTCCTAGGGGAATGCACTGAACACAGGAGATAGCTCCTGTTTTGAGTGTCTGCCCCCTGTTGGTAAGTGCAAGTCATAGTGACCAGTCATTCTGCTGTTTGTTCAATTTGCATATTAGCCTTTTATTATATAGGATGTCACCACAATAAATTCAATAATAAATAAATAATAAATAAATAAATAAATAAATAAAAAGTTTTAAAAGAAACAAAAGAAGATAGAGAAAATATGTAACAGCTGAATGACTTTTAAAAATATATATATATATATATATATATATATATATATATTATTGATTTTGTTACAGAGAGGAAGAGAAAGGGATAGAGTTAGAAACATGGACAAGAGAGAATCATCCATCAGCTGCCTCTTGCACACCCCCTGCTGGGGATGTGCCCGCAACCAAGGTACATGCCCTTGACTGGAATCGAACTTGGGACCTTTCAGTCCGCAAACCAGTTAGGGCTGAATGACTTTCTTACGTAGTAGGTCGTAGAATAACATTATTTCATGCTATGTCATGATAACAGAGACATGCCATTATAGGAACTTAAGTCTTATATCAATTAGCCTGTGGTAAAATTGGTTTAGTTATAGGCAATTTCCCTTGAAGTCACAGAACCTATGGATGACATTAAGTGAGGACTTACCATATATTAAAGTTATAGAGAAAAGAATAAAAAATATAATTTTTATAACACTTTAAGCATATTCATTCATTTTTCTGATAATAGTTTCTATACTATATTTGTTATAACTTTTAAAATAAACATCTACTCTAATATATTTCTGCATTTAGTATAAAGTTGGTAGAAATTATAAAAATATTTCATAAAATATTCAATTTTATAGACTATTTGTATATTATGTATAAAATATTTAGAGATATATTACATGTAAATTGGTTAATTATATTCAATTAATTAATTTCCAAATTCAACAAATTAATAGAATTAATTTTTTAAAATTGAACTTATTCTTTTATTTACCGAGCCATTATAGAAACTCAACATAATGGGTCAATTTAATGGTAAAAATTACTTTATCTAAATTGTAAAAATGTACTTCACAATTACATTTGTAAAAACTAGGCTGTGATAACAATACCTGTTAAATGAGTAAAATCCATCTATAACCACAATTAATCTATGGACAAGAAGTGCTTTAGGATTATTATAGCAAGCAACAGATTTTGATAAATATGAAGAAATGCAGACAATTAGTTATTTTCTTACAAGAATTAAAATTCTAAGGAAAAACACCCACCATAATCTCTACCCTATTGTGTACATGCAATATACATATGCATATATGTATATGTGTGTGTGTGTGTGTGTGTGTGTGTTTGTGCATAATGCTGAAATATTAAATCATTCTTGAGATGGAGAGTGACTTTTAAAAAATAGGTTCCAAGTAAAGATAGCTTTCTGGTCATACTCATTACTTTTTATTGAATCTGTATAACAATGTAAGGAAATTTTCATGGGATATTTTTATATAAAAGCATTTTCAAATACTCAATGGTCATATAAATGAGCATATTAAAATGCAATACAAAAATATGACAGGGAACTCTTTTAACTTCATTTGCTATTAACTGAATTTTTGTGTAAAACCTGTTAGCTTAAGGTCCTGAAGGAACTTATGGTACAACTCATAGAACAAACACTGAAAACAACATTATGAAAAGATTATTGTGCATTAGATAGCAAGCACATTATTATTTTTTTAATATAGAATAATTATGATTATAAAAGAAAGACCAAGCTCTTTTCCCCTTTTTAGGGTATATGTGTGTGTATGGGGCGGGGTGAGGGTGGGGAGAGCAGCAGAATTTTTCAGAAAAAAAAATCAACTATTTAATTTACTTGACTCAAATATAAAACCTTGACAAATATTACTTTAGAAATTAAAACAAACTTTAAAAAATCATAATTACTATTATGCCAAGAGTTATTTTACCAGCTCGTTGTATCCACTACAATTGTAATTCAACTATGTGTTCAACCAGAATTTATTTAATACAATTGTTTTCTTTTAAAAATTTATTCTTTTAAAAAGAATCCTCAGTTATTGTTCTGCATGGAACTACTAGTTCTACTGACATAATTAAATTTACTGAGCAGGTTTAGCCTCAATTTGATATTTACTGGACTTAGAAACTAAGATTACTTCCAGGTGTTAGAAAAAAACATCAGGATGGAAAAATCAAGCACATTGAGTAAGGGGGAAATAAAGACATAAATATTGTGATCAAAGTACTGGTTTGGACTACTGAGGTCCACAGAACTCAGATAGAAAGACTGGAAGGGGTAAGTGGGGAGCTAAGTTATCAGGCAGCAGCCATGCAGTTTATTGATTGATTTATATTTGAGTCTCTTTCACACAAACTTATAGGCAATGTCTTTGAATGTAAAGCAAAAAGATAGCAGAGTACTTCTCTGTAGAAAAATGATCTGAATGTATTCAATGAAGAAACGCAGAGTAGAAACAATACAGACTGTTTACATTTGAAGTGACATCTAGAGTGTCAGAAATTTAAGACATCGGTGATTCTATACTGTAGTTGTGCTTTCTTTTTGGTGGGAAGGGGAAATATGAATAACTATGTCTATGGTGTTTAAATTCTGGAAGTTTTAAATAGAATATACAGGGTGATCCTAAAAATGTATACACACTTTTTTTTCTGATAACTCAATTGATAATCCTTTCTTTTCAGATTTAACCTGTTATAATTAATAATTATTCAGTGTATATATATATTTTTGGGAC